ACCCTTTTGCTGCTCCTTGGTTGCTGCACCACTCTCCTTAGGTTCACTGAACTTGCTGGTCCCTCCAGGTTTGCTCTTCTTGAGCTCATTCTCCTTAGCGCGACCGTTCGCGCCATCGTCGCTACCGACCGCTCCATCCTTGGTGCTGATGCTTGCTGCCACTTGCCTCTCCTTAGGCATAGGGACCACTGGGATCTGCCACATCTCGTTGTAGACATCCCTGTCCTCATGAAGGTCCCAAAGAATTCGATCGCCAAGCCTTGCGGTGTAGGTCTTGGCTCCCTTCGAGTTCGTGTCCATGCCGGCCTTTGCCAACCGCCGCACGGAAATCAGGTTTGCAGCAAGGCTGGGCACCCAAAGCACGTTCTTGAGGCCCACCATCTTCCCATCAGCACCCTTGAACATGGCCTTGCCCATGCCTTTCACCTCTGCTCGCTGCCCCAAAGCCGATGTGACATGCTTCACCGGTGACGGCTCGAGTTCGGTGAGCAAGTCCGGGCGAGGTGTCATGCTATAGGTAGCGCCACTATCAATCACCCAATAGTCCAGGGGGTGTAGGGTCACCTTTCCCACAGCTGCTGGCTCCTCAAAGCCTTCATCCTTCTCTGGACCAGCCGGTACTTGCGTCGACACGAAGTAGAATAGACCCGGGTATCGATCGTCGCTCGGGTCCTTGTCGTTGTCTCCGCTCTTCATGTTTGCAGCTCCGCCACCGCGACCGCCACGGCCTCCACGGCCTCGTCCTCTCCCTCCTCCTGCTCCTCTACCCTCTTGGCCTTGAGCAGGGGTCCAACCATCAGGGAGTTTGTAGCAGTCGCGCCACATGTGTCCGCTCTTGTGGCAATAGTGACACTCGCCGTCGAATCGGCCGCGACCGCGTCCGTAGCTCTTGTCGTCGCTGCCGTAACCGCCACTCCTGCGGCCTCCGCCGAAGTTGCTGCCACCAAATCTTCCTCCCCCTCGTCCTTTGCCTCTTCCTCGACCATATCCACGGCCGATGCTCGCTGCCCCAGCGCCATCCGCACTCGCCAACTCACGGCGGCGGAAATCCTCTTGAAGGATAGCTCGCTTCACGTCTTCAAGCGAGAGGCGGGGCAAGTCGCGATTAAGGTTGATGATGAGCGAGGACCATGACTCTGGGAGTAAGGCCAGCAACTTGGTCTTCTTTTGGAGCTCACTGTAGTTCAAATCAGCTCCCTCAAGCCGCGTCAACAAGTCGAAGAATTTCTGCACCCCTTCTTCAACCGCTTCGTCTTCTTCAATTCGTAGTGCCGCCATTTGCCGTTCCAACACCACCGCTACCGCCGCTGTTGCAGGAGCATGTACACCCTTGAGAGCAGCCCATGCCTTTGGTCCTTTCTCTGGTTCACGCTGGAATGGCTTGATGTGACGGATCTGACTGCTCCCCAACGCTTGCCCAAGTAAGAGATAGCCTTGTGCGCTCTTCCGCACCCACGGGCTCTTCTCCGGGTCGTTCTCGGGGCGCTTCTCCGTTCCTTCCATCACCTCCAGCAGGTCATAGTGGTCAAAGATGTTCTCCATCTTGAAGGACCATTCAGCAAAGTTGTCACCGTTGAACTTGTCAAGCCCAAACACCCTAGGCTCATCCCTAGGTGGGCCAAGACTTGGTTGCATGGGCGCCATGGCTGAATCACGGGGTTGGCCTTGAGCTTGAGCTTCTCCACTGCCACCAGCACCTCTGCCACCCCTTTCCTCAGGTCTAGACATTGTCGAAACTGCTCCAAGGGGCTCTGATACCACTTGTTATAGTCACAATAGGCTTGAATGTGCCTAAAACGAAAGATAGAGAGCACAGACGGATTTCTGCACAGCGGCTTCAAACGTTGATAGCGTTCTGCTCACAGCTGCAAATGACTTGATTCAAATTGGATCTGGAGCGTCTTCACGTCGTCTACAATTAGCAATTTAGATTGCACGATTTGATCAAGAATTGACGACACAGCGTCGGTTTGAACGAACGGTACTATGGCAGCCACTATAGTCTTAGAACACAAGATAGGAAGAGTTACGAGTTGGGAATGACTCCCAGCTCCTACAAACCCCAAGAGCCGAGGTACAGTGATGTGGAACAGTGCCACACTGTCCCCAACCACGAAGGGTCTCGAAACTACCCTTCACTAGGGCCTACACCAAGTGAAATGTTACACTACACAAAGTAATGTAACTATCTTCAATATCTTGAGGTGTACCCTTTTTGGCGAGCTTCGAAATCACTTGAGGCTTGACACCAAGGCTCGGGCTCTTCATCACAAACTCATCCTTGAGTTCTTGATGGGTCTGCTGCACACACCTGCGACACGCCGAACGTTCGACACAGGACAAAATAGAAACCGCGCACGACAAAATAGAAACCGCGCGCGAGACACAAACGACCGCGTAACACGCGTCTAGCGATAACTCGCTATTGACTCCACACACACACTCGACATCATGACTCAACATTCACACACAATTATAAGCATGAAATATATATTATCCCATGCCCTCATACCATTCCATACACACACACATTCACGCACACGGACAACAAACCGAGTGCAAACCGTAGGGTTGCACCAACAAACTCCCCCTCGGATTGTTGGCCTTAGGATATGTTGCTCTCTCAGTTCAGAGCCATCCCAGCCAGCTTGCAACACTTCCAATGCTGCTGCTCCACCAGCCTCTTGGTCATCATGTCAGCCGGCTGCCCCGTGGTCTTCACGTAGCGCAACTCAACTTCACCCGCGGTTACCATGCTCCTCGTCCAATGCCACTTCACCCTCATGTGCTTCGTGAGTCCATGCAACACAGGGTTCTTAGCAAGAGCAATGGCACCCTGGCTATCACAGTACAGTGGGGTAGGTCCTTGCTGCTCCTCCCCCAATTCAGCCAACAAACGCCGCTGCCACACAATCTCCCGTACGGCTCGAAAGAGTGCCATGTACTCGGACTCCACCGAGCTCAAAGCTTGGTCAACCTGCTTCTTGCTCTCCCAAGCAGTTGGGCCTCCACCAACACAGCATATGAAGCCTCCCACACTTGTCATGTCCTCTGGTTCTGATGCATATGAAGCATCCGAGTAGGCGGTGAGGAACAAACGCCCGGGTTCAACACCATCCGCGCCCTTTTGGCGCCTTTGTGCCGCCGCCGAGTATTGCAGCCCAACGGTCGGTGTTTGGCCAAGATACTTGGCCACCCTCATTCCAGCTGCTACCTGCGCCCATAGCGCGCGATAGGCAGGACAGCAGCGGAAGACTTGGTGGGCCCGTTAAGGAAGGCAGCAGGAAGGTGCCTGCTCTGAATACCATGTTGAACAGTAAGAGTAGCCTAGGCCAAAGGGAGTCGAGGGAGTTTAGCCAAAGAAAGTGTGAGTTCACTATTGAGCGAGGTACAAATAGTAAACAAAGCATGCAAAGAAGGTGCACCACCAATAAGTTTATAATAACTACACTAACTACAGCTACAGGCAGTTACAGATATATTCTAACACCCACCGATGACAACTGGGTCCCCCTGGACAAAATCGAAAAACAACCCGTCCTCAACGAATACTTGCGCAGCAGAAATTTCCGGGATATACATGCGCTCTCGTTAGGGAGGCCTCATTGAGGGAGGGGGTAGTGTAAGGAAATTTCCTTTTCCTTACTTCGCGTCCCTGCTCAGCGCGTACAAACACTGACAGCACCCCACAATATTCCGTTACCAATCGCGACATTCGCCTCGACAACATTCCCGCCACTGTTCACGATGCGACCCAACCTCACGGTTCGTCTGGTAACCCGCGCTCCGGACCTCCGCCTCGACAGTTCCCCAAACCTCGGCACTAGGCCTGTCGCACACCCCATTTTCCCACGTTACCGTTACCACCATAGTTTCGCTTTATATTCTTCGCTCATTCCTTCGCTCATTCCTTCGCTCATTGTCTTCTTGTCTAGATAGTGCAATCCTCGCTCGCTCACTCAATTGCACTCGTAACAGACATAAAGCAGTACACGGTAGAATGTGAATAGTCAGTTGGTGAGAGCATCAACATGTTTCATACCACAGCTTGTTGGTTGTGTTGCTATCATTTTTCCGATACCACACATGTGACAGTTCTGGATCTCCCTTAGAGTATCCTCTACGGGCGATAACCCGAGTCTCCCATATCGATGCCCGTTCATTTTCAGGCGACAACACTTCATGAGCCACTCCCTGTCTCACTCCCCCCCTCCACTGCTTCATGAGTAGTCCATGCCCTTGCGATCGCGATTCGCCAGCGATAAAGCATGAGATTGGCAAGCGATAAAGCATTAGATTCTCCATGTTACTGGGCGAAGGAGAATAATGCCTTGGCCATTTACACGGAGGGAGATACTCCTTACCTCGTCCCGTGGTACAAATCCAGCGCGAGTCGGATCCAGCATTACTTTCAAATCTCAAATCTACACGGTATGCACTCGCGTGAAACGCGCGCCGCGTGCAGCGTCACCTTGCTCGGATTCACGGTCATCCCTCCCGATCCGATCCGTCTCTCCTGTACAGCGCTGCTTCAAGCCGCTTCATACCAACGGTCACCTTGCACTCCTGTACAGCACTGCTTCGAGCCACCTCATACCAACGGTGGCGTCACCTTTCTCGAATTCACGGTAATCATCGTCGATCGCAGATGAGCTAGCCCTTCCCCGTTCGTTCCCCATGTATCTTAACGTCTCCCCATGCTGGCTGTCGCGCATCATCACCGTTGCCTCTGCATCATCACCGTTGCCTCTGCATCATCACCGTTGCCTCTGCATCATCACCGTTGCCTCTGCATCATCACCGTTGCCTCTGCATCATGCCGTTGCCTCTGCATCATGCCGTTGCCTCTGCTTTCGTCACTGGCGAGGTTCGCGACACTAACCGGCGGCGCGCCGTTGCTAACGCGGCGCGACTCCGACCCAGCAGACAGCACTGTTGGTGCCGCCATGGCGGCGGGCTCGCGACCCGCGAGATGTGACGACGTCGGTGTCCTTCCAAGCATGACCTTCCAAGAAATCTTCAGCCGCGCGTATCCGCCGCTCACCAGCCCCGCCGCCGTGTCTGCTTCCGTATCCGCGCTCAGCGCGCGCGCGCCCTTCCGGCGGAGAAGCGGGGCATGTGGCAGGGGCCGGTCGAGTCGTTCCGCTCGCCCGCGGGGAAGCAGCGCGGGGCGCGTCGACCCGTCGGCGGAGAGCAGGAATCCGAAGCGCGGAGTGCAGCAGGCGGAGGAGTCCGTGGCGTGCTCTGGTTGGAGTCATGGCGGTGGCATTGCTGATAGCAGCGTTGTGAATCAGAATCAGAATGAGAAGAGCCAGCACCATGACTTGAGTCAGGGGATCTTCTCTGTAGCACGAAACGAGGGGGCGAACTTGGGGTTTCCTTCGTGCCCTGCTGTTTTGCCCGCCCAGCTGAGTCAGCAGCCCGCTTTGACGGTGCGTGGGGGGCGTGTTCCCTACGGCAGCAATTTCGCAAGCCGCCCTGTCATGCCAGTGGGAGGTACAGAAGCATCCGGCATGCCAGTGGGAGGTACAGAAGCATCCGGCATGCCAGTGCCGTGGGGGTGTGGCACTCCAGTCCCGTGGCTGCAGGACAGAACGATGGTGCAGCAGGGGGCGATGGCTCAAGAGGGGGTGATGGTGCAGGATGGGGCGATGGTACAGGATGGGGCGATGGTACAGGCGCTGAGGGAGAGCAGGGCGCAGCTGGTGCGCGAGCAGATGGGCACCAGTGGTAGCGCTGTGACTGCTGGGAACGCTTGGACACTTGGGAATGCTGGGACTGCTGGGATTGCTGGGAATGCTGGGAATGGTGGGAATGTTGGAGCAGGGGTGTGGAGTGGTAGGTGCACAGATGGGGCAGACGCAGTGCAGGGTGGGGGAGCAGGCATGGAGCATGGTGAGCTGGATGCAGCAGCCATAGAGCGCATGCTGCAGATCTCACAAGCCCTGCTCAGCCCAGCGGACCCTCCTACTCATAGCCCTCACGCCACAAATCATCCTGAGGGCCCTGACAGTTGTGCCCGTGTCGACACCCCTCATGGCCCTGTGATCCCTCACGCCTCCCATGCTGCTGCATTCGAGGAGGCCAGTGCGCTACTGGCTTGCTGTGACTACTAGAGTCTCGCCTCTGCAGTGCCTTCTGCTCGTCCAGCTGCTGCTTTTGAGCCTGCAAGCAGGCTTGCTGACCTGGTGCCTACTGTGTCCCCACCATGCATGGGAAGGGACTTCACAGTGTCTGGCGGCCACTGCCTGCTGCCTCCTGCAGTGAGTGTGACGCCGTGTGAGTGAGCCGGCAGGTAGTGCGGCGATTACCCTTACCATTAATGTTGCCCAGGTCCAGCCATGCTTTGAGGAACTGCTGTCCTAGGCTCTGGTAGTGTGTTGGTTGGCAGGCTGTGGGTTACATCCTGTATATATTGTGCCAGGAATTGTGTTTTATATACACCTTTCAAATCCTTACCCGGTAGTTACCAAAGTGTTATCAGCAGTGAACAATGCACATTGCAAATGCACTAAGCCCACTGTCCGCTGACGACATCATTTATTAAACTTCATTTATTAAACTAACGTGATGGAATGTCCATACGATGTCCAGTGGAACTAGTGCTTCACGACACGAGCAAGATACCGGTACGGTAGAGGACATACAGACGGAGAAAAGAAAGTCCTAGGACCAGTGAGACCACTGCTTTCACGAGCAAGATAAGCTCAAAGAATGCTAGTCAATCAGGTACCATTGAACAACCTAATATCAATGAAACCTCTCTTGGCCATCAAGGACTGTTGCCCTGATGTTCACCCGAACACCACGATGAGGTGGAGGTTCGACGTTCGGGAAAAAATGTTTAATGTTAATGCTCGATGTCAATGTATAATGCGAATGGTCAATGCACAATGTCCAAGACATACCTGGACCACACCAAAGGCCATTAGTCACCAACAGCCATGAGGATCCCACCTTGCCAACATAAAGAGGAGCATCCAATCACTCTCTTTTGGGAACAGCACGTCTCGAGTGGTTGCTTTTTGAGGTGCAATGAGAGGAAAAGGAAAAGTGTGATCTGGCACAAGACTCAAATCCACCCCCTGGCGTAGCATGAGCTTGCCCGAACCAGAGCCGGGCGGCTCGGCTCCAGCAGGGCCTATTGTGCTTTAACGCGCAGGTTCGTTACTTGAGCACCGACTGCCGTCGCCGCGCTAGTTCCCCATCCACCCCCGCACAACAAGCCACAAACCACGAGAGGTTGCTGCCCTTAGGAAAGCGCACTGCATGCTTGCACCCATGCTTTACCTTTACCTACACACTCCCAAGGCAGAAGGCACACTCAATGCAGTCACACACAAGGCAAAAGGCACGCTCAATGCAGTCACACACAAGGCAGAAGGCACGCTCAATGCAGTCACACACAAGGCAGAAGGCACCCTCAATGCAGTCACACACAAGGCAGAAGGCACGCTCAATGCAGTCACACACAAGGCAGAAGGCACGCTCAATGCAGTCACACACAAGGCAGAAGGCACGCTCAATGCAGTCACACACAAGGCAGAAGGCACGCTCAATGCAGTTACTCACAAGGCAGAAGGCACGCTCAATGCAGTCACACACAAGGCAGAAGGCACGCTCAATGCAGTCACTCACAAGGCAGAAGGCACGCTCGATGCAGTCACACACAATGCAGAAGGCACGCTCAATGCAGTCACACACAAGGCAGAAGGCATGCTCAATGCAGTCACACACAAGGCAGAAGGCACGCTCAATGCAGTCGCACGCAAGGCAGAAGGCACGCTCATGAGGGAGCCAGCATGGCGATGAGACGCGCGCCCACGATCACGCCCACCACCGGCGTCAGGTTGGGCGCTATGGCTGAGACGGGCGCTATGGCCAGCATGCGCGATCGCAGCGCAGGTAGTCCAACAGCTGCGCGCGGTACTCTGAGAGGGCGATCACATGGGGGGGGGAGGTTGAAGGATGGTGGGGATGAGGCGAGTCAGTCAGACGAGGATGGTTGAGAAAGGAAATCGAAGTTACATATACAGTTGCACTAACGTAGCACTGTGAGTGTGGCAGCACTATGAGTGTGGCAGCACTGTGAGTGTGGCAGCACTGTGAGTGTGGCAGCACTGTGAGTGTGGCAGCACTGTGAGTGTGGCAGCACTGTGAGTGTGGCAGCACTGTGAGTGTGGCAGCACTGTGAGTGTGGCAGCACTGTGAGTGTGGCAGCACTGTGAGTGTGGCAGCACTGTGAGTGTGGCAGCACTGTGAGTGAGGCAGCACTGTGAGTGCGGCAGCACTGTGAGTGCGGCAGCACTGTGAGTGCGGCAGCACTGTGAGTGCGGCAGCACTGTGAGTGCGGCAGCACTGTGAATGCGGCAGCACGGTGAGTGCGGCAGCACTGTGAGTGCGGCAGCACTGTGAGTGGGGCAGCACTGTGAGTGCGGCAGCACTGTGAGTGCGGCAGCACTGTGAGTGCGGCAGCACTGTGAGTGCGGCAGCACTGTGAGTGCGGCAGCACTGTGAGTGCGGCAGCACTGTGAGTGCGGCAGCACTGTGAGTGCGGCAGCACTGTGAGTGCGGCAGCACTGTGAGTGCGGCAGCACTGTGAGTGCGGCAGCACTGTGAGTGCGGCAGCACTGTGAGTGCGGCAGCACTGTGAGTGCGGCAGCACTGTGAGTGCGGCAGCACTGTGAGTGCGGCAGCACTGTGAGTGCGGCAGCACTGTGAGTGCGGCAGCACTGTGAGTGCGGCAGCACTGTGAGTGTGGCAGCACTGTGAGTGTGGCAGCACTGTGAGTGCGTAACCGACATGGCGCAGCCATTTCAATGCATTGTCCCTGTGTTCATCAAAATGTGACCCACCCACCTGGTTGCAGAGTGCGAGGATGTGGGTCAGACGCATGTCATGCTCGCTGTCCCCCGTCCCCATGGAGCTTAGACGCCACCCAAACCTGCATTGACCTCGAGTTGACCTGCGTTGACCAGAGCCTCTCTGACCACCGACCTGGTCACAGAGCGCGATGGTGCTGGTCAGACTCAGGTCATGCTCGCTGACCTCCGTCCCCATGTCTTGGCGGGCTCGCTGACCTCCGTCCCCATGGACCTCCATCCTTGATCGCTGACTCTACATCCTCCTCCATTATCTGGGGGGATGGATGGGTAGGGAAGATGAGAAAGGGAGGTTGGTAAGCGGTTTTCAGTGGCCATCTCACAACTGAGGGAGCAGCTCGTCTCACAACCGCTTCTCGTCTTGAAATCAAATGGAAGCACACGCATCAACACGGAGAGCAGAGGAGGGCGGTGTTGTAAAGGCTTATCCTCTACTTTTAAGGAACTGGGATTTGTACTAATAACTAGATCTCTGTCTTTGCTTTCCAACGAGCCGTGAATTGCTTCATTCGCCTGAGAAACGAGTGAGCTATAGCTGGAAACGTGAAGACTATGCTCTAGGAATAGAGATTAGGAGCTCTCTGGAATTTTGACGAGTTGTACCATTTACAAGATGATTCCAATGTTCACTATGATTCATGCAATACAAAGCAAACATATTTATAGCATGCAACAAACATCGAGTCGCACAAGTAACCTCGAACCGCTACACTCTCGAAAGTTCGAGTAACATTTCGAAGGGGTGAAATTCGACACTCGAATTTCACCGAACCGAATTCTCCTTGAGTCTCGAATGTTCCTGGTGCTGCCATGTGGCACCGAATCGATGGGTCTTCCGAAGTCAATCCTTCAACCCCACGCCAACCTGCAGCTCACTCGAAATTGAGCACCAAGCCAACACCTTTCGGTGGTTGGGGGCAAAGTTGCCTCACGCAACCTCCAACAGGCGGGAGTGGAGTGGGCAAGGGAAGGGAGAAAGGATGGGGACCACACTCACCCCAGAGGATAGCGTTGAGGTGGTGAGCCATGAGCTTCACGGCTCTGCAGCTTGTCCGTCACAATCTTGCCGGGCTCGGGGAAATGCCACCCGCACCACTCGCCTTGAGACCCAAGGGGCACCCGTACCACTCGCCACCCATACCACTCGCCACCCGTACCACTCGCACATGCGCATGGCGTACGTCATCCCTCGTTCGTCATCTCATTCGTTGCGCCACACACGTGTTTATGGTGTCGGATTGATCCCGTTATTGACCTCGTCCCCCGTCGCTGCGCCTCCCCCATCGTTGCGCCTCCCCCGCCGCTGCGCCTCCCCCATCGCTGCACCTCCCCCGTCACTGCGCCTCCTCCATCGCTGCGCCTCCCCCGTCACTGCGCCTCCCCCATCGCTGCGCCTCCCCCGTTGCTGCGCCTCCCCCATTGCTGCGCCTCCCCCGTCCCTGCGCCTCACCCGTCGCTGTGCCTCCCCCATCGTTGCGCCTCCCCCGTCGCTGCGCCTCACTCGACGCTGCGCCTCGCCCATCGCTAATCCTCCCCCATCGCTGCGCCTCCCCCGTCGCGCCTGCTGTCGTCACTCGTCCAGCTCTCGATTCGACGCGGACGATTCCGTTCACCTAATCAAGCATTGCTGCGCGGTTCCCCTCCTTCAGTCGCAGCGTTGCCTTAGTCGCTGCCTCCTGTCGGTTCCGTCGCTTGGCGTGTCGTCCGTCTCGCTGGCGCTACCGTACGATGATCGCCGTAGGAAGAGCCTGGTTCTTGCTGGAAGTAGCGGCACCATCGAGCACCATCGCCTCCCATCCCGCGCGTCCCGCTGTCGTCGCTCCCCTATCGCGCGTCCCCCGTCATCCCTACTTTCAGCTCCCCATTTAAGCGACGCAAGATGCTTCCTTTCCCTGATCGAGCATTGCTGCGCCGTTCCCCTCCTTCAGCCGCAGCTGTTGAATCGTCGCGGCCTCCGGTCGTTGCGCGTCGCACCGTCGTCGCGCATCCCACTGTCGTCGCGCGTCCCACTGTCGTCGTGCGTCCCTCCCGTCGCTTGCGCTGCCGTGCGAGGGAGGAGTCAGATTCTTGCTGGAAGGGTGACAAAGCTAGTCTCACCCGTCGCTGCGCGTCTCGCCCGTCGGTTCGTGTCTCGCCCGTCTCGCTCGCGCTGCCGCGGGATGATCACCGAGGGAAGAGCCTGGTTGTTGCTGGAAGCAGCGCCACCGTCGCGCCTCCCATCCCGCGCGACCCGTTGTCTTCGCGCGCCTGCCATCGTCCCCGTTCAGCTCCCCGTTTAATCGACGCACGACGCTTCCTTCCCTAATCGAGCACCGCGCAGTTCCCCTCCTTCAGTCGCAGCTGTTGCATCGTCGCTGCCTCCCGTAGTCGCGCGTCCCGCCGTCGCTCGCGCTGCCGCGGGATGATCACCGAGGGAGGAGCCTGGATCTTGCTGGAAGCAGCGGCACCGCCGAGCACCGTCGTCGTGACGACGTGGAACCACCCTCACTCTTGCTGCTAGCTCTCCGTGCTCGGACGCAGATTCCGCCGAAACGACAAGAATCGTCGCCGTCGCCGGCCACCTTTGCCTGCGACCGTCGGGAAACCATTGACCGACGAGACTCCACGCAATCGACAAGTCGGTATTCTCTGTATACGGGTGTGCGGTGCTTGCCACTGCATCCTCTGCTGCATCCATTGACACCCTATTGTTGGAAGTGTGGGGGACGGGATTGCCCCCCACGCGAAAGACCTCCCTTGACTCGGACCAAGGGAGGGTCCATTCTTGGAAGGTTGGGGTGACGGCGGATTGTCCGCGTCGCCACGCAACCGAACTTCCCCCGGTTGGGTCCGAATATTTGTGGGGGCGACACTTGGCATCCCCACAAGCATGCACGAAAATAGCAAGAGTGCAAGCGAATGTTACGAACATTTCGCTACACTCGCTATTGTTCCTTGTAACACATGATTGTCGGCGTGAAGAAACGAACCCGGCAAAGTCTGAAATTGTGAACGCGGATGTCCCGGAAATTGGGCGCGATCCTGAGTCTGAATTTCCGGCGAGTCGTGCGCGGTTCGATGTTACAATTGTGCTTGCATGTTTTAGCTATAAAACAGAGAGCAAATTCCAGAGAGTTAACTTCAACTTATCACTTGTACCCATCCTTGCATTATAAGCAATATCTCTTTCGATTCTCAGGCGATTACAGAGATTCAAAGTGCCACGGACGAACCCGTCGGAACGATCCTAGTCTTGGCTCCTAACTCGCCAAGTGCATTCTGTGGCGTCATTTGGAGCAGGCCGGTTTCTTTCATGGTATCAGAGCTAGAGTAGGAGTGCTCGCTCAATCATTGCTACGCCATGGGTTCCTCCGATAATTCGTCAACAACGAATGCGCCAACGGCCCCTTCCTTCCCAACGGACTTCTCGACAACGCCGCATGTTGTCGACTTGAGCGCGGTGCCAATTTTCAACGGGGAGCATTTCTCCTCGTGACGTTTCAAGCTCAAGGTGTATATGATGGAGCGCGACTTGTGGGGATTCTTCGATGAGTCAACATCGAAGCCCACTTTGGACGCTTCAACTGGGGAAAAAAAAGCGTGGGTGCGAAATGACAAAAAGGCATTTGCCTTTCTTGTCTCCAAGCTAAGTCTCCAACTCGTCCCTATCGTGAGTCCGTGCATCGACCGTGAAGGCACGACTCGTGAAGCCTGGAAGCGACTCGAAGGAGAGCATGTCTCCAAGTCACTTCATAGCAAGCTTCAAGCGCGCCTCGACTTTTTCACGGTGTGGATGAAGGACGGCGAGTCAATGCGCGCGTACGTCAACCGCATGGAGGAGCTTGGCGAGCGCATGGTGGAACTCGACGCGAGCGTGGAAGACAACAATTTGATCATGACGCTCCTCGCGGGCCTCGGTGAAGCATGGTCAACGGTGATCACGATGTTGGATGGGACGCAAGATACGTGGAAGAAGGAGCAAGTGGTGGCACGCCTCATCAACGAAGAGGCGAGGCGCACGAAATTGCATGGCGATGCAATCGGTGTGGCACACTTCTCCCGCGATGCGAAGGCGAAAGGGACGGGTCACTTCAAGCGGAGCAACGACGGCAACAACTGCGGGAGTTCGAACGGGAGCGCGGCGACCTCAAGCTCATCATGAGGAGGATTGGCCAACGCCAATCGAGCTCGGGCGCGAGAGGGTGCTTGTCGTTTTTGCAAGAAGACGGGACATTGGTGGCGCGATTTCCCCGTTAAACCGGCAAATTGGAGGCCGTCTTCAAGTGACGACAACCGGCGCGCACATGTGGCGACATGCGACAACAACGACCGGGAGTTCGTCTTCGTCGCAAGTGGAATGACCGTCGGTGGTGTTGATGCGTGGGTACTCGACACGGGTGCTACTCAACACATGCGGCGTGCGCAACGCTTCTCAACAACGTGACAACGGTGGCTCCCGTTAAGCGCGTGATGTTCGGCAACCGTGACACGTTGGACGTTACGGGACAAGGCTGTCAGAATAGTGAAGGAATGAATGACTGAACTAGCAAGCATGTGGGTACAAGTAGGAAACCTAAAAGTGTTGTACCCTATATGAACTACCCCACTACAGCCTAAACAGACTATAGCATATGAGTTTGACACACCCCCATAGGCAAAGTGGGGGAGAACAAGAGGTCACAAGACCGGTCAAGAAAGGCAAAGCAAGCTCAGGGTGGATCACAAAGTCACCACGCATTCTAAGCACAAGCAAATGGCCACAAGGCCAGTTCACATGCAGAGTTATATAAAAGAGAACATGCAATACAGTGAACACAACCTAGCAAGTGTAAGCATGCAGGTATATGTATAGAGATCACAGTACAAGTAAAGTCAAGAAGTAAGCAAGTGAGGCCAAGTAGGCACAAGACCTAACATAGTACAAAAACGTTGATGATCACAAGGCTGAAGTGCCTTGGTAAAGATATCAGCCGTGTTGGCCTGAGTGGCCACGTAAGCAAGACGAAGCTGACCACGCTGCTGCAACTCTCGAGCAAGGAAGTATCGTAGAGCAATGTGCTTCGTTCTGTGCTCCAGTCTGTGCTCCTGACACAAGGCAAGCATGGCCTTGTTGTCGACGTACAGAACTGGAGGAGAACGAGGCGCCTCTCCCAAGTCGGTCAGCAGGTAGGTGAGCCAGCGTAACTCCTGTGCAGCCATGGCCCCAGCGTAGATCTCAGCCTCACAACTGAAGCTGATAACAGAAGACGAGCGAGTAGACCGTCAAGAGACAGAACCGGAGCCAAGACTGAAGGTGTAACCCTGTGACGACCGCTGCGTAGCCAAGTCGTCAACCCAGGAAGCGTCTGCGTGACCAGTGAGGACAACTCGAGGCCGTCCTCCAAGTACAAGCCCCATGCCCGACGTACTGCACAAGTAGCGCAACACCCTCTTCGCAGCATCCCAGTGCACCTTTCGGTGCCTACCGGGAGCCACGTAGCGAGCCAGAAGGCTGAGAGGGTACGCACGGGGTGCCTGGCGGAGACCGTAGACTGGCCGCCGGAGGCTCCACTGGGTACCAACAGGAAACGACCCAGTGAAGCCAGGTGGGCGGCGCAGCCAGATCTCCTCGTGCAGGGTGCCCTGTAGGAAGGCTGTGCTGAAGTCAAGCGAGTGTAGCTCGTAGTCACGCTGAGCGGCGACGTGCAGCAGCACCCGAAGAGTGGTCATCTTCGGGGTAGGGGAGAAGGTCTGGAAGAAGTCAACTCCTTGGAGCTGACTGAAGCCTCGTGCAACGTAACGCGCCTTGAAGACAGGCGGAGAACCCGGCAGCCGCTTCACCCTGAAAATCCACATGCCACTGACGATGTTCGCCCCAGGCGGGGGAACCTCGTCGACGTAGGTGCCTGTGGACTTCCGGGATGCCATCTCGGCATCCATGGCTGCCTGCCACTGAGAGGAGTAAGGACCCTCTATTGCCTCTGCGTAAGAGCGCGGGGTCGGGATGTCTGGTGCATCCGGGTCTCCCTCAAGGGCAAGCAGCATGGACACGAGATGAGGTACAGCAGCGGCAAAGCACTCAAACTCCTCCTGTCTGTCCTCAAGAACGTCCGTGCCAAGAGCGCACTCACCCCCGACGGACGGAGGACAGACAGACGCAGACTCAGACTCAGCAACAAGACTAGCGGCGTAGTCTAGACGACAGTGAGCAGCAAAGTCGACAAGCTCAGCAACTAAGGCAGACGCAGCAGTGGACTCAAAGGAAGGGTCAGTGACAACAGTGGCCAGGAGACGCGTGACAGTAGGGCTAGCAGCACGAAGGGAGTCAGACTCCGGGGCAGCAAGTGCGGGAAGATAGGACGTAGGAGGAGACGGCAGAGGGACACGCTGTGGAGCAGTGGAAGGACGCAGAGTCATAGAGTGAGTGCCAAGGACAGGAGGAGGACGCTGACGCGGAACACGACGACCAGTGCGAACAGGGCGAACAGGCGACTCAGGACGAGACTCAAGCGACGCAGGACAAGACTCAGGCGACGCAGGACGAGACTTAGGCTCACGACGCTC